TCCATCGAACAAGTTAGCAGCTAACTGGATACAGTACCTTGATGGATAATATACCGACTTCTAAGTTCGGTTCTCAGTGTAAGCAATCAACACAGGGAAGTGTACATTCGACTTGAAGTTACTTAAATTAGATATATAAAAATGTGTGTGTAAAAATCAGCTAAGTGATTGCGCGATCAAACAGTTTAAGATATTCGTTTACAAATAGAAACTGATTATATATATATATATATATATATATACAACAAGACATAACAAAACACTAGACATAATAGTAAAAACACGAAAGGAAGCCTACCTCATCTCTGAATTCCATATCGCCTCAGGTGAATCGAAATCACCAAGAAAAATCTCTGCGAATTTTTCTAGTGGATGATTTTCTAAGTAAGCAATCATAGCATCAGGTAACATATTACCCAGAATTGATCGTGAAGTTAAATCAATTCCTAATGAACCCGTGAACTAAAATGATTTAGGAATAATAAAGTTACAGACGAATGGAATTAGATACTCAATTTAATTACACTGTGGTGCACATCGGAAAACTCAGATACGATTGAGTATGAGGACAACCTACTCCCTTTATTGAAATCAAATACGGTCGCGCAATAGTAGCTACTGTCAGGGAAGTCCAATTCCATATTTTTATGTGGCGGACAAGACATATTTTTATGAAAAGAAAAGTGGATGTTTGGCTATTGAAGGATATCGAGGGTTCATCTAAGGAAGTTGAAAAAACTCTGATTTCATACCAACAGAGAACATTGGCTCATGGATCCGGAAGCGACTTTTGGTGCATAAAATCACAGTAGTGAAATTATATTACTGATTTCTAAAAGTGTGCACTACAAAATATCAATTTCTATGATTCTTTCCACATTACGATTCTTGTATGATCTAAATATTCTAGTTCTCACAGAAATTCAAATTAGTCAACGTTGTGTAACGTTGAAGTAGGATGAATCAGCTGTTCAATACTTTTTCAAGATATACACAAAGTTACGGTTAATATGCAATTTCGTAAAGGAAAATTACTGATAATTATTTAACAGTAAAGTATGTGATTCATATTTTGTCTAATCTGGAACTAATCAGTCGGGTGCACAGGCATATGCACCTGAGTACTGATTTTTACAGGCATAAACAATCTGCTAAGAAGTGCCAAATGGAATGAAACATAAATTTTGGATTATATAGTTTAGCTATTACTAATTTATGGACAAACGCAGGGTTTCATTCGAAAGAGCCATATAGCACAAACATACTGAATAAATTCAATCGCTAAATTTGTTCAACAAACAGAAAATTGACTAGGGATAAACTACTTCACGTCGTCAAATTATCCAAGTATATTGTAGTCAAATTATTACGGTTATGTATTCGTCTATTTAGTCATTCAATTGAAGATATCTTGGAATAATTTCCATTATCAAATTATATCTTTTCCTGTGTTATAATTTTTCTTCTATCATGACTGACTGTGCTACACTTGATACGTCCATAGCATGATGAAGTAGTCATTTCGTAGTAGAAAACATTAACAGTTTCATATAGACCAGCAAAAGGATAGAGACTACGATAGTGCAAATAATAATTCCCGCCTCATTCTGGTTGGCTGTCAGATGCAAGGTCATAATTGTAAAGGAGAATGGAATTTATCCTCACTCCAGAAACTGTAGTTCTTTGTATGAAGATTCATCAAGATTTTATAGAAATTGGGTAACGAGTATGCAGAAGATATCATAAGTAAAAATTGTATTTGGATAATCCTCAAGACTAAAGAAAGATTTGCTGTGTTTAAGTATTACTTGACGAGTGTCATGATTTTCATCTGTGCAGTTGTTCAGAATGTTGTACGTGAAGTGAGGTTCTGTTATAACTTCTGACTTGTGTACCCTCCTAATGTATAACATAACGATACCGCCAATTAGAGAGCAGTGAATTATCGATTGGACCAATGACACATAAATTTCGTACGAGCAGTCTAGAGTACTTATCGGTCCTGCTTCCTGCCTAGCTCAGTCAGTTAAGTCCAAAACACCAATCTCAGCCTCTGCAATATAAATCACTTATTTCAAGCAAACTGGGTTTATATACCAACCACACAGACCACATCAAACCATAAAATAGGAAACAACATTTGTAAAAGATTTGGCCAAATGTGGCTGTGAATGTGGGAGGTAGTAGTTAATAGACAGGGTATAATTCAAGAATGGTAAATCGTATAATAATAGTTTATAGGTCAAAGTAAAGCTTACGATAAGGGGAACACGAATATGCATAGTTTAGTTACCTAGCAACTATACAATACAAAATATATGCATAGTATTGGTCCATAAATGGATCCCCAAAGTTACCATTCATTATGCTTATCAGGACCTAACAGGTTCAAAGCTACGAAACAATGATTACTAATTAAATCCATAGGTGGTGTTAACTGCTTTTAAGACAATTTAATATAACTCATTTATCAACTGGAACTTTGTATACTAAGATTATATCCACACTATTTATGTGTATGAGTGATTGTTGTGATATTACAATAACCGACTGTTAGAACCTGTGACGAACCTGCTAATTGTATGTAAACAGCCATGGTAATTATATTCGTTTAAAAAAAACCGAAAATCTCAACATTTTCCTGAAAAAGGAATAAATCGACAATATAAATACAGACATGCGGATACAATAAGTACCTACACACAATATACTACTAATTACAAATGAATAATTTTGATATATTTATTCCGGTTTAGATCATATGATAAGATACTCAATAAGAAGTGTTCTTCTAAACTAAACTAAACTTGTAAATCATGAAAATAACAAAGTAATGTATGTATGATTGATTGAGATGCATAACGAGAGGAAATTAACATACTGATTTTTGGCTAATCTATGTTGGTGACTACATGAACTCAGTAGCGTAATGGATAATACGTTGCATTTGAAGTGATAAATTTTGAGTTTATGTATATGTCAATAATAGAATGAAGGTGAATCGAGTAGACGAATCTCAAAGAGGAGGAAACGCACATTTCAGATTTCACCGATAATTAAATTATGAGTACTAAAACAATCATATCTTGCCAAGAACTGACTTTTTACCGGTGGATGTATGTTGCTTAGTGACGAGTAAGTCAATTTGTAAGTGATAAACACTAAGGTGATCCATAGCCGGTGTATTAGAAGTAGTCTAGAAATAACAAACTGAAGCTCGTCAGAATGAAGTGTCCTCTTTTTGCTAAGTGATTGGATATCCTGGAAGTTGACAACTCATCACTTATCTCTGAAAGCATCTCAGTTTATCTACATTATGATTGACTGAATTTAAAAATTCACACATGAGTATACGCATACATAAATACATATTGTTGAAAGTCAACAAACACACTAAGTCTTTAGAGGCATAGAAAAAGGTAATAAAAGTTTTAACCGATTAGCATTGAATAGAAGTTGCTTGGATACATCTTTAAAACAAAAGGATCATGTGTCACATTTTGATTGGATAATTACTTAGATTGTTGCAAAATACAGTATATTCCCTGAATTTCCTAAAAGATTTATGAAGATTTTCTAAACGTTGATTAACCTTGGAACAATGCATTTAGTCATATTTCTTGTCTTCTCTATTGCTCTAGTTACAGTGAAGATGTAATCTGTGCATATAAGAAGTATCTATAAAGTCATCAGCAAGCAAAAGATACCTATTATATACATTACTTACGCTTATTAAACCTCGTGTATCATAAACCGCTAATTAGGATTCTCCACTGAACTCTGCCATGTGCTATCTTTTCCACTAGTTGCAAAGTGCTATACACTATTTTGATTTCTGCCTCTAATTCATAGTACAATGAATTCTGTGATCTTCCTCTTTTCCTTCTGCCTTGACGATTTCAAGTTAAGGCTTGCGTTCTCTATGCAAAAGTAACTTCTTGACGATAGTGTCCGGTCAACGGTACCTTGCTTAGATAGATGGTTGTAGATACGTGTGTTTTAATGACGATAGTTGTAGTAGTAAGGTCACTACTCACTGCTTTGTACTTTAGGATCTTCTTTTTCCCTTGTGTACGTCGAGTCCTACGGCTGCAGAGGCTACTGCTACACTAATTGTTTTTATCTGCATTTGCTGGAGTGCATAAGATCGAAGAGCTAGGTCATCTGAGAAGTCCAAACCTTCCAGTTACACTCAAACTGTCCATTATATTCCGTGTTTCCCCTCTGATGTCGAGGTTTTCATAATCCAGTCAACGATCAGAAGAAAGAGAAAGGAGGAGAATAAGCAGCCTTGTCCTAAACCGGTCCTCACTTGGAATGCGTCTGTCAGCTGTTCTCCATGCATGACTTTGCAGTGTAGTCTGTCTTATGAATTCCGGATGATTTCGACCATTTTCTCAGGTACATCATAGTGTCGAGGACGTTTCCATAATGTTCTCCTATCCACATTTTCGAATACTTTCTCATAGTTAAGTATGGTGATGTATAGTGACGAGTTCCATTTGACTGACTGTTCAACGGTGATGCGCAGTGTCGCGATGTGGTCTGTGTACGGCCGATTCTTACGGAGTCTTTCATCCTCTTCAGCAACACTGTTGAAAATGTTTCCTGATACCGATGGTTTGATGCCTTTGTAGCTGTCATAATTAATAAGATCTTTTTGATGAGGTATCCTTTTTTCCAGTCTATCGACACTTGTCCTTCCTCCCAAATCTTCCTGAATAGAACGTATGGCATTTACATTTACTTCTATGTCTGAATTCAGTGCTTCAGCTGGTATGTTGTCTGGTCCTGCTGATTTCCCGCTCTTCATTTGTCTAATGTCCATGTTGATTTCTTCGATTGATGGCGAGGTAACTTCGGTAGGAAGGTCTGCTGGTGCTGCTTCGATCTCATATATATATATATATATATATATATATATATATATAACACTTGCACAGAAATTTCAAGATAAAACCAATCAATACAACAATGAAAAACAATATAGTACAACTTACTTCATCTAAGCGTAATGCTTGTAATAAGTGAACATCTTTTAAAAACTTTGCAATTGGCAAAACATTACTACCAGTGTATAATAATATGAAATAAAATATTCCAGTTAAGTAAAGTCGTGGTAGAAAAGGATTTTGATCCATAACAGCATGTAGAAGAGAGACAACACGTTCAACCAATGGTGGGTCGAAGGTCAGTAGTAGCTAAATATATTAATTAAACAAAATAATAGTAGTAGTAATAATAAAATAGAACAGTAGACTAGTTGTTAGACATTGTTAATATAATGAAAACACTGAAATACTAGACTAGAGAGAATCAGTTCCTTTAAAATATCAGGTATACCTTATTGGTCGATGTTTAAAAGAATGAAATATGAACTAATATTTCACTGTTGACTAGCTCCGGTCACCCAACACCTTAGCAAAGTGCATACAACGTCGAGTCACTTAGGCTAGTCACGATATTACAACCTGACCGATAAAATTCGACCTGAACGATGGATCAGGCAAATATGACATTGGACACTAAGTATCTCAGTTCTACAAGAGGTAATTTGAGGGCTTGCCATGCTTAGTGGTAACGTCTCAGAGTGTCAGACTGGATGACTTGGGTTCGACTCCTACAGAGAACATATCACTCCCCTCACGATTCCATATACCACTTACCAACGAATGGCAACTACTACCAAATTTAGGCTCATGGTTTTCTGTGAACTAACTCCAACCACTTCACTAACTGTAAAACAGTTGCTCCGTTCTAGTTTGAAACTTTTAGTGAGTAGTG